GCCACATCGTCTACCTGCCAATGGGAATGAGAACGATGCTGCTCTATTACGTTTTGGAACTAGAGGGAGGGTGTTGGCTCACAGACCATGTCAAGATACTCCGTCGGTGTCTAGTTGGAGGCCAGAATGAGGCCCTGGTGACATTTATGGTTCCCCACATAAACTTCCAGACAGAATATGTATTGCATTTTTCTTGAGTGATGACAAGACAGGTGTATAAGCCTCATTCCGTCCTTTCAGATAAAATGCAGGCTTTGCCACAGTAAAGAAGAGAGCAGGCACCACCTCGCAAATCATATATATATATATATATATTTTTTTTTTTTGGATAGGAGTCAAATATGCATATAAGCTGTCTACCATGGATCAAAAGCACACTTTGCATTTACTTAAATTTTGGAATTTAAACCTTTTATTGGTCTTCCCCTAAACCTCACATGCAGGTGATATCTGGGCCCCTCCCTCCAATTCTGGTGGGCTCTGTGCTGAAGGAAATCATTACTCCCCACCAAGCGGCCACTCCCAGTCACTGTAGTGCTCATTGCCAATTAATTCTTGCTCAAGTTCATCTAGAACTGAACTTTCTGATTTGGAGAGGAGAAATAAATCAACAAATCGCTAATTTAAATTTCAACAGGGATGGCATTTGTCAAAATACAGATTGTTTCTTGGTGGCTGCAGCAGCTAAAACTTTTCTGTTGTTTTTATTGAATGCCGTCGAGTCTGTTCCGACTCATAGCGACCCTGTATAAGGTTTCACAGGAACGGCTGGTGGGTTTGAACCACTGATATTGGGGTTAGCAATTCAATGCTTATCTTACATGAAAAACTTTCCTATAGACGAGGACATTTCTTCCAAGTGATTTCTCTCTCCTCTGTCTTGGGTCTAAATCCTAAGCATCTATATGGCCACGTTGTGGAAGAAGCCCAGGTCTATATTATGGAAGTAACTATATCACGTGTATGTGTGTTTATATAAATGTGTGTATATATGTATGTGTAGACTGACACATATTGGTATATCTTAAGCCAGCATCAAGCCCAATGCCATGGAGTCGATTCCACCTCATGATGACCCTACAGAATGACCCTATAGAACAGAGTAGAACGGCTCCTTAGGGTTTCTAAAATAGATTATAAATCTTTATAGGAGCAGACTTCCTCCTCTTTCTTCTGTGGAGTGGCTGGTGGCTTTGAACTGCTGCTGTTGTAATTAGTAGCCCAATGCTCAATCCACTATGCTCTTAGGACTCCTTGTAAGTATATGTGAGATGATAAGACCATTTAAACAGAGTCTTGATGTCTGCTTTTTCAGTGACCATGTTTGAAGTGTTTTTTTCCCACAATGCCCTACATTTGTTGCAATGATGGTTTTTATGAAATTTCAGTATCACACATGTTACTGTTATCAATTGCTCTCAAGTCAGTTCCACCTCATGGTGAACCCATGCACACAGAATGAAATGTTACCCACCTGGGCCCTCTTCACAGTGGCTGCTGTGTTCGAATTCACTGTTGTGAGCACAGTGAATTCGGAGTCTTTCCCACCTAGAGGGCTCATCTTCCAGCATGAATCAGACAACGATCCATTGTCCTCCACACCTTTTTCATTGATGGATTTTTCAGAGTTCTGGTGTGATGCTGTAAGATAAGCACTGGACTGCTAACTGCAAGGTCTGTGTGGTTCAAACCCACCAGCTGCTCCTTCGAAACCTGCTACAGGGTCTCTATGAGTCAGATCTAACTCGATGGCACTTGACAACAACAACAAATTTTGGAGGTAGACCACCAGACCTTTCTTCCTTGTCTTAGTCTAGAAGCTTCACTAGAACCTGTCTGCCATGGGTGACCCTGTTGTTGTGTGGAATACCGGTAGCCTAGCTTTCAGCATGATTGCAGCATGCCACCCACCACAGTAAGACAGACAGACAGACAGACAGACAGATGAGAGTGGTAGACCGCATGCAGAGACTGGCTTTAATAACTTACTGGTTCATTTCCTTCGTGATAAATTTTTAAATTGCTTCCGATGTGTTTCTGTCATGAATCCTGCTTCTTGCACATCACTCTCCTTCCCCACCCCTTGAATATTTTCTAAGAACAAATTCCTTGGTGGGGAATTTCTGGGATGGCTATTTTTCAGGGCTTTGATGCTCAGTTTCATAATTGCATCATGTGAATCAGCCATGTTCTTTTCCAAAGTTTTCCAGTTATTTGGAGACACTAACCGTGTCTGTCTTGGCACTGTTCAGCAAGCATAATGAGTGGATAATATATGTAGTTAAATAAACAATTAGAGCAATCAATAAGTAAATGACTGCCCTCCTTCCTCAGCACTAAACCTAATGGGATCAGCCACATTGATGGCACTTTCTGAACACATTCTTAAAAGGAAGGATGCATCAGACCCCATGTGGCTTCATTTTTTTTGCAGCCTCCTAATTACAATTTTGTCACTCTCTGGGAATGGGAAATTCATCAAAGACAGCGCAGAAAATAGCAAAACTTTTTTTCATCTTCAACTTTTTATTGTGTCGTGAGTAAAAATTTACACAGCAGTTCCTAATTCTGTTTTGTAACATTGTTTGCACAATGTAATAACATTCTTCCCACTTCCTCCTTGTGTTTCCGGTTTCCATTGTCCTTCTTTTCTATCCCTTCCTGTCGGCTGAGCTTTCTCTCTGGGTGAATGCTGCCCTTTTGATCTCTTATGGACAATTGTTCTAGTAAGAGTATATGTCCCTGGCGTTACTGTTCACCTCTTAGGCCTCTTTATTATTTGGCTGAAAGTTGAGCTATGGTCTTGAGTTCAGTTCCAGACCTGAAAGGTGACAAAGGGCATAGTCTTTGGGGTTCCACTGTCTCTATTGGACCAGTAAGCCTGGTCTTTTTCTTCATTATTTTAAATTTTGTTCCACCTCTTTTCCCTCCCTCTGTATAGGGTTTTCTTTTGTGATCCCTTTCCAACCACAATATTTTCACATCAGAAAACTTTCTTTGGCAATGGGTTTCAGAAAAATTTGCAATGCATTTCAGAAAAAATGTTACCAGGAGTAAGGGTCTATGGAGTGATAGTTGTTTACCTTTTCAACTTGCGACGTTAGATGTTATGTTTAAAACCCTGTAGCCAGAGCTCATCTTTTCCTGAGTTGGTGGGGAAATCCGACAGCGGCTGGACGTTGATTTCAGGGCAGGTTCCTGGCCGGGTTGCTTGCTTCTGGCTTCTGGTGAGCTAGCTGTGGTTTGAAAGACCCTGCTGGGTCTTTGCTCTCTGTTATTCCATTTGGGAGATATACATTAAGAATATGCATTATATAAATTAACAAAATAATACATGGTTGTTTTAACTGTGAACTAAAAAAAAGAGATGGAAGCATAAATGGTAAAAAAGTAAATCTTTCTTGTGGGTTCTGTAACCAAGCACATGCAATATCTATACATTTATATACACACCTATAGAAATCTTTAAAAAATCACCTAAGGCCCATGTACACTTAGCTTTATAGTTTGGAATATGCTTAACACATTGTGGACATCTTCTCAACTATGTGTGTATAGCGCTATCTCGTCGTCTTTTTATAGCAGCCTATCAAACGTGGCTCTGCAGGTTAACACGCTGGACTTCAAGGTCAGTGGTTCAAGCTCACCAGTCACTCCTTGGAAACCTTATACAGGGTTGCTATGAGTCGGAACCTACTCGACAGTACGTAACAACAATATCATTCTACTGTCAAATTGTATAGCTTAGCTAATTGAACCTTTAGCATAATAATAATTGTTGTAACTAGCTGGTAAAGAATGAGTATTTCTATGTGCCAGGTGCTGTTCAAAGAGCTTTATACTTCTTAGCTCACTAACCTGTATGAACCCAATCAGGTATAATTTATTTTGTAGTCTTTGTCTGTGAGCCAGTGGGTTTTGTACACAAGTACATTTGTGGCAGAGAGGTTAAATACTTGCTCCTGCTTGCTCAGTTTGGAAGCCACAGCACCAGATTCAAGTCCAGGCATCCGATTAGCACCTATGCTCATTTTAATTAAAAACATTAAATAGCAATTTTATTTTGTTGTTGTTGAAAACATGCACAGCAAAACAGACACCAACTCAACATTTGTCTCTACAAGTGGAATTCAGCGTAGAACCCTTTGCACCCTCTTCATCCGAGTTGTTCCTTTCTCACTCACTGCCCTGTAAGCTTCCTATCTGATCTCTGACTTGCTGTTGTCAATAGGACCTCCCACCTTCAGTGTGTTTGGTACCAGCCTGGGGCTGCAGTGAGCATCCTTGCAGATCAAGCTTCATGCATCTTCCCTAGCATTTCTGAAGGGGAGAGATGGCTGGAACAGGAGTCCCGTCCATAGCCTCACCCTTATTTCAGTGCAAATTGTTGTTTTTTTGTTTTTAAGTGCTGTTGAGTTGATTCTGACTCATAGTGACCCTGTATAGGGTTTCCGAGGAGAAGCTGGTGGCTTTGAAATGCCGATCTTGTGGTTCTCAGTCCAGTGCTGATCCTACAGTGCTGAATTATGGCGATGCCCACATGCCCCCTATGAGTAGTCTTCCCAAGCACTTGGCACAGGTTGGAGTGATGAAAATGCACACACATGACAAAGTAGTGTAAGATGTGGTTGTTGTGGTGTTGGAGCTGTGGAGTAGATTCTGATGCACATCAACCTCATATGGCAGAGTAGACCTGCTCCATAGGGCTTCATAGGCTGAAATGTTTATGGGGGCAGATCACCAGCACTTGTCTCTGCAGAGCCACTGGGGGGGTTCAAACCGCCAACTTTTCTGTTTGTAGTCAAGTGCGTAACTTTTGCTCCACCAACGTTCCTGAATAAAGCATTAACAAACCCTATAGGAAGGTAAGACTTGGTCTCTCGTACTGTAAGCGTGTTAGGAGGAACTTGTCCCTGGAGGACATCATGCTTAGTTAAGTAGAGGGTCATCAAAAAAGAGGAAGACCCCCAGTGAGGTAGATTGGTACAATGACTGTAACAATGACCTCCGACATAGGAACACCGTGTAGGGTTTTGTTCTGTTCTGCATGGGGTCACTGGGAGTCAGAACTGATTTGATGACATCTGACAATACACAGGAAGGTACAATCCCTGGATGAGGAGGTTGGCTGTGTGTGCAATGGTTCTGTAGAGGGGGATTGACAACAAAGATGACCAGGGTCCTCTGGACTTGGACTTTTTAACACCAGGAAGAGGCTGTGGTTTTGCTCTGGGAGCCACCTGTTCATCCCCAGACCTGCCCCGCCCCGCCCCGATCGATGGTAGGCATGACCCCCTTCCCTCTCTGCATTGGTCCTTTGGGAACACACCGTGTAATGCCAGGACTTTCCCTGGGATGAGATTGGGGAGGGATGGCGCAGCCCATGGGCGGCTGGTTGGGGTAGTGGGTGCAGACCGCCTTGTGTGGATTTCATTGCATATCGGAGCCGTCACTGACTCTGTCCCTGTCTTCCTCTTCCATGCAGTGACAGAGAGCCGGGGAGTCACAGACAGCCTGCAGAGGTTCTTGTCGCTTCCCACGTATCTCCCTGCAAGCCTTCACATCGACAGAGCAGAGCAGTTCTTCTTCCTCAAGGAGGCCAACCAGGACCTTACGAGGAACTCCAGTCTGCAGACCCGGACTGAGTCCTTCTTTGTCCACCGCACCAGGACACCCCCTCTCGTCAACGCCAGCTACGGGCCCTTTGCAGTGGACAGGACGGTCCCCCAGGAGCTCATGTTGGTGCCCACACCCTTTGCCAACTTGGAGAACTTTCCCTTCAACTGGAAGCTGAAAGCCCACATCCTGGACAGCTCTATCTATTCCAATAGACCCAAAGTGCAGACGTTATTCTACGTCACTGGGATGGACTGGGATGCCGGAGAGCCTGCCAACAGCCTGCCCTGTGTCAAGATGTTTGCGTTTCCTGAGGCCAGGGAGGTGGCAGCCAGCTGCCGGCTGCAGGGGAACCCAGGGCTGTGTGTGGCCGAACTGGAGCTGCTACCTGAGTGGTTCAGCTCAGGCCTGGACCTGGAGCCCGAGGAGGACGTCCCAGCCCTGCTGGGCGGCACCACCATGGAGCTCTTCTTCGCCCTCTACCCAGCCGACAAGGTGGGGGGCTGCCCCCAGGAGGAGGACACCAAGTGGGAGAACAACATCCACTCGGACCAGGAGGGCCCCCAGCCAGTGCTCCCCGCCCGGGAGAGGATTGGGAGCGTTGTGGTGTACCCAACCCAAGACGACCTGAAGTGGTCACTGGTGAACCTGGACGAGAACGTGGTCATCTCGGTGCCTCTGAACCTGATCCACGAAGGGGATGCGGCCACCTTCCTAGTCTCTCTGACTAGCAGCTCCACAGCAGACCATTTCAGTCTCAGGTAAGAGGGTCTGTCGGATGGATGGGTTGGAACTCACCTATTAATCTATGGATTGTTGATGCTTACATGGGTGTTGGTCATTTGTGGCACACCCTGCCTACTCAGGAGACCTGAAGACCTGAAATGGAGGTGAGCAGGGTCAGAAAACTTTTCCTGGAAAGGGCCAGAGGGTGCCTGGTGTGACTACTTAGCTCTGTGATGGTTGCCTGAAAGCAGCCTGGGCAGTATGTAAATGAAGAGGTGTGCCTATAAGATTTTATTTACAAACCAGGTAGGGGCCTGAATTTGGCCCTTGGACTGTGTTTGCTGATGCCCACTGTAGATGATCAAGTTCGCGGGAAGGAGTAGCGAGGCCAGTGGTCCAGGGGTGAGCATGGGAACACCAGGATGGGCAGGCATGTTTTCCCCTTGAACTGGGTCTTGAAGGGTGAGTGGAATTTGTATCAGTGTGGAAGGAGAAAGGAAAGGTTCAAAGTAGGGGGAACAGAGACCACACCAGGCACATTAAGAGCATGGGTTTTAAATAGTTTCTAAGTATGGATGCTGGTGTGGTGCTGTATGTAGGCACTGGACTGTTCACTGCAAGGTGGGCAGTTCAAACCCACCAGTTGCTCCAAGGGAGAAAGATGAAGCTTCCTACTCCCATAAAGAATTTTGTTGTTGTTGTTAAGTGCCGTCCAGCCAGTTCAGACTCATAGAGACCCTATGGAGGGTTCCCAAGGCTGTGAATCTTTGTGGGAGCAGAAAGTCTCGTCTTTCTCCCTTGACGTAGTTGGTGGGCTAGAACCACAGACCTTGCGGTTCGCTGTCCAGTGCTTATCCCATAGAACCATCACAGTCCCCCATAAAAATTTACAGCCTGGAGTCCCTCTTCAGGACCACCATGGGTCTGAATTGACTCGATGGCTGTGGGTGAAGGGATGTGAGTGAAGTATAAAGGAGCCCCGGCAGCTGGGCTGCTATTTGAAAGGTGAGCAGTTCAAATCTACCAGCGGCTTGTTGGGAGAAAGATGAGGCTTTCTGTTCCCGTGAAGATCTACAGCCTCAGAAGCACTGCTTAGGGTTTCTGTGAGTTGGAACCGACTCAGTGACACACAGCCACCGCCTCCAACTGCCTGACCGAAAGGACATGGAGACAGCACAGCAGACCTCAGAGACACTGTGGGGTTAGTTCCCGATCACCCAGTGCAGCGAAGAGCGCGGTTCAGTGAGCCACACACGTGTTTTGGTTTCCCAGCACATAGGAAAGGGATGTTGGCACAGACTGCAGTCTATGAGGCGTGTAATCGCGTGATGAAAAGGTCTGAAGCTCTGTGAGCATGGCTGGCATGGGGCAGAGACAGAGTGAGCTCACAGCGTTGGAAAAATGGCGCTGGTAGATTTGCTGGATGAAGGTTTGTCGTACACCTTCCATTTATAAAAAGCACAACATCCGCTAGCACCGTAAAGTGAAGCACAGGGAAGAAGGCGTACCTGTGCAAGGTTCTAGGAAGTGGCTGATCCAGGAAGCCACAAGAATGAACAAACCAACGTGTGAAGCTTGGAGCAGGGGCTGCGTGCAGATGTAAGATGCAGGATGTGAGTGGTCTGGGTCCCAGGTGGGAATGGTCCGGAGGCTGACAGTCAGGAGCTGAGCCTGACCATTCAGGTCTGAGGCTGGCCGGGGTTTGTCTTCCAGGGGTTCTGGTTGCATATTGTCTTCTATGTTCTGGCCCTGGTTGATTTGCATATTCAGTCTATGGAAATAAAAGGATATTTTTAGGCCTAGGCAAGTGTGTTGTTCTCCACCCTCACTGGCTGTCTGTTCTGATCACATCTTTTATGAATGAAATGTGACAAATTTCATTCTGACGAAGCTCAGATGTGCACAGACTTGGTTAGATGCAATTTCAGAGCCTATGGTGCCTGGGAAGGGGACAGATGCGTGGGACGTCCAGGTGCCCCCACTGCTATTTCAGGCTGCCTCCTGGAGGGGCCAGTGGGAGCTACAGCTGGATCTGTCATTCCCTGACACCAAAATGGATCCAGTTCAACATCAACAGCTAAGCTTTCTAGCCCAGGGCTGTCAATGTGGGCTGGAGGCGTAGGTGCTGGTGCCAGGCTGTGTTGGGCTGGAGAGTGTGAAATATCATGGATTTGTGCCTTATCCTAACTGTAATACATCAGAGGCTGGAGAGGCCTGCGAGCAGACTGCCTGGGTCTGGATCCCGGCTGTGTGACCTCTGACCATTACTTGACTTCTCTGTGCCACAGTTTCCCTATGTAAATAGGGAACTTGGAACTCAGCCATACACCCCCTTTCACGCCAGTTGCTAGCAGCTCTATCCTCCATCCTGTTCTCTGCTGTTGTCAAGTCAGCTCCGACTTACGGCGACCCCAAGTACAACAGGAGGAAACAGTCCGGGTCCTGCGCTATCCTTATGATTGTTCTTCAGTTTGCGCTCATTGTGGTTGCCCTGCGTCAGTCCATCCCATTGGAGGTCTTCCTTATTGCACTCACCTCTAATTTATCCCCAAGTTGTTATTGGCTTTGTGCTGATGTTTCCTGGTTGGTCCCTCCGGTTTTCACTGGCAGAATTTCTTATACTGATGGTCAGGCATCCCATGGGGTTCCCGGATAAGCCCAGTGCTATCTTCTCTCACCCTCACAAGCCCATGATGAGCTGCCTTCCTTAACACCTGCCCTAGGGTCACACAGTGGGAAAGCCTTAGAGCCAGCACCCAAGCTCAGGCTGATTCATCTTCAAAGCCCATGCACCTCTCAAGCTCCTCACCTTACCCTCACCCCCAGCACATGGGGATGTTAACAATCTTAATGCTAAATGTTCACACTTAAGCAAACAAACAGACAAAACAACCTGGTAGATGAACATTCCAAGAGGCAATGAAAATCCAGGCTGTATGAATTTGTTCCTTTTGTAGGATAAACCTCAAATTCCCCCCTCCCCCCAGGGAAACTGCAAACACAGACACCTCTGAATCTGCAGTCTTGGAGCCCAACTCCTGTCCGAGCTCCAGGCTCTGATGTCAGATGGTTGGTTCCTGCACAACCAGAACCTGCCCACTGTGGTTATCCACTGCCCTCAGCAGCATGCTTCTGCTCACCCCAAATCAGCCTGATGTCTCTTCCCATATGCAGTGGGTCTGTGAGTCCTTGGGGTTGGACGGGATAGAGTGTATATTTCTGACGTTCTTCCCATACACTGTGGGATCTGTGAGTCCTAGGGGTTGAATGGGATGGAGTGTACATTTCTGACGTTCTTCCCATACACAGTGGGGTCTGTGAGTCCTAGGGGTTGGAAGGGACAGAGTGTGCATTTCTGACACTCTCCTCCCATACACAGTGGGGTTTGTGAGTCCTGGGGAGTGACGGGGAGTGCGTGTGAATCTCAGGTGTGGGTGCATCCATATGATGCAGGGATACAGATCTGCAGGTACCACTTCACTGATGGGTACAGCTCTGAGCAGTGGATGTATGTAGACTGGGAACTGACTGATAAACTTACCTGTGCCCATCACTGGGCTGTGCTCCTTAATCTTGTTGCACCATTGCACTTCACACCTATGCCAGGAGCTTGGCATGATCATCAAGATGGTTTTACACAGACAGACTTACCAGTTGAACAGGTGAGGGAAGGATAAGGGGGCTACACCCACAAATGCATCTCCATTTGACAGAGGATATTTTTATGGGCTGTCAATGTGCTCAAAAACAGCAGAGCATCAGTCACTTATTCACTGCCATCAAGTTGGTTCTGACCCGCAGTGACCCTGCCGGGGGGTTCTGAGACTGTAAATGTTTACAGGAGCAGACAGTGTTAGCTTTCTCCCATGAAGCAGCTAGTGGACTTGAACCACCAACTTTGTGGTCCACATTCCAGTGCTTATTCTGCAGTGCTGTGCCAGGACTCCCATAGTAAAGCATGTTGTTGTTGTTGTTAAGTGCTGTCAAGATGGTTCTGACCCATAGTGATCCTGTACAGGGTTTCTGAGGAGCGGCTGGTGAGCTTGAACCATCCACCTTGTGGTTCAAACTGACGTTGCAATCTAGCGCATTAACCCACAGTGCCCACCAGGACTCCTTAGTAAAGCATTGCTGTTTGTTGTTGTTCGGTGCCATCGAGTTGGTACTGACTCATAGCAACCCTATGCACAACAGAACGAAACACTGCCTGGTCCTGGGTCAACCTCACAATTCTTGCCACACTTGAGCCCATTGCTACTGCTACTTTGCCAATCCATCTCGTTGGGGGTCTTCCTATTTTTCTCTGACCCTCCACTTTACCAAACATGATATCTTTCTTCAGTGACTTGTCCTTCCTGACAATATGTCCGAAGTATGAGAAGTTTGGCCATCTTGGCCTCCAAGGAGCACTCTGGCTACACTTCTTCCAACACAGATCTATTTCTTCATTTGGCAGTCCATGGCACTTTCAATATTCTCCTCCAACACCATAACTCAAAA